TTAAGTATAATAATTTTGATTAGATTATCTTTCTTTAGCTTAGATTTTTATTTTGTATTATCTATATAATAGATTAGCTTTTATATTACTTTTTATAAAAATTAATTTTATTTTGAATATATAAATAATTATTCATATATTTAATATATTAGATTTAACATATTATTATATAAATAATTATTATATATATTTATATTATTAATTTAGTTAATTAATATTTTTAATTAGATTTCTTTTTAATTATTTTTTATATTTTTACTTATTTTCTCATATTATTATTTATATTATTATTTATCATATTTATAATTATTAAATTATAATTAATTATTCTCTAGAAATATGAATTAAATTAATTAATTCTATTTAATTCATATATATTTTAATTATAAAACTTATTTATATATTAATATAAGATTTAAAATTTTTATTAAGTAAAAGTAATTTAATTTTTAAATAATATTTATAATATAATATAAGAATTTTATCTTTATTTAATTATTAATTTAGTTTATGAATAAATAATTTAATCATATTATAAACTTTAATTAATATTATAAGTAAAAAAGTTATTAGTTAATAGCTTGAAAAATTTTTTATCTTAAATAAGATAAAGATACTAATTTATAATATGAAATTATATATATAGCAAATCTGAATATAATGAAGTGATCTGTTTCACCTATTTTTTTTCAGTATAATCAGATTTTTATTATATTTAGATAGAAAATTATATTAAAAAAAAATTTTATATATCAGAAAACTTTATTATAAATGAAAATTTATTTTATTTAGATTTTATTATATTCAGTTTCACTATGTATTATTATTTTTTTTAACAGAATATTAAGAGATATTAAAATAAACTTATAATTATTTTTTATTACTAAAATTAATTATCTTAAATAAGAGTTTATTATTATTATTATTAAAGTTATTATTAGCAAGAAATTATATTAGTATTTGAAGTTATTTTTCTTTAGATAAATTTAATTATATATTATAAATTTGATAAAATTTGCATAAAATTATTTTTATCTTTTATTATTTATATATCTAATTTTTTTTTGTATTTTTTATAAGTTTTTCTAATATATTTTGCTTTATTTTTTTCAAATCTTTTATAAATTAGTTAATATTTAAAAATTTATTTTTATTTTTTATTCAAATATTAGAATTTGATTAACTTGATTTATTATTATTTAATTAGTTATTATTATTTTATTAATAATCAAATTCTAATATTTTTTAACTTAACTTAATATTATTTTAATACTTTTTGATAGTTATTATATAATATTTAACATGCTTATTTTATTTTAACATAATAAAAAGATGTATTCTAAAATAATATTTAAGAAAATGATTTAAGTAGAATAATAAATAAGATATAAAAATAAAAAATAAAATAAAATAAAATAAATAAGTAATCTATTATAAAAAAAAGATAATAAAGATTTTTAATCTTAATAAATACTTAAAAAAGTTTTTAAGAAATTCTTAAAAATTATTTTTTTAAACTATGATAATTTATATAATTGCTTTATTATATTATATAATATATATATATTAAATTTTAATATTAATTATTTATATTATATATAATTTTATTTGAAAATAATAACTTTTTAAAAAATTTAGCAATGATATATAATTAAGTTATTTATATTATATTTATTTTATATTAAAAATAAAAATTATAATAAGATATTTTTTATTAAATCTCTTTTATAAAAAATATTACTTATTTTTTTTATAATATAATTAAAATATATTTATTAAATTTAAATAATTATTATATAAAAAATATATATAATTAAAATTCAAGCTAATATCTTTATAAATATAATAATTAATAATATTATAAAGTAAACTTATCTTATTAATAAAATTAATAATTAATAGTTTAATAAATATTTTTTATATAATATAATTATAAATATTTATTTTATAATTTATAATGAATTATAAATTTATATTTAAAAATATGTATTATAAAATACAATAATATTTATATAATATTAAAAAACTTGAATTTTTATTCAATAAAATCAACTTTTTTTTTTTACTATAATATTTTCAAAAAATAATGAGCAAAGTGAATTAATAATTATTATAATTATTAAAAAGAAAAAATAAATAATAATAAAAAATTTATCAACTTGCAAAGAAGTAAGAGTTTTATAAAAAGAAATTTTTAGCAATATTAATTTATTTTTAAAACAAATTAAAAAGAAAATAAAATATATTTATCTTGAAGAATTTTAATAATAATAAGGAAAAAAGAATAATGAAAATTTTGAAAAATAAAAAACTTATATCTAAGAAAACAGATTAATGAATAAAAAAATGAATTTTTATAATTTATTTATATAATAATCAAAAAATAAGTTAGCAAAATTTTATGAAAAATCAATTTTATTCCGAAATGGACCAAATTCCAACTTTGGTCCAGAACATATGTTTAACTGTTAAAGATCGGTATTGTAATCTCAATAATTTTTGAACTTTAATTTTTAAATATGCGTAGAATTTTCTAGAAATTATCCCCCAATATAATATCCAATTCTACACATAGTTTCCGCGAGTACTATTCAATTTAATTTGAATAAGCTCCTGGAGCTATCGATATTCAGTGCTAAATGGTAATTGAGTGAAATAAACTATCAGTTCTCATATTGAGGTCACAATTAAATTGCTCAGTGACCGTGTTTATTAACAATTATGCGATGTATTTTGCTAAAAGATTTCATGCATTGAAATTGTAGTTTAATATTGAAATTGATAGCCTAGCTTATTTCATGCTGTTTAAAATTACGGGTAATCTTTTTCTAAGAAGCTAGTTGTACTGGTTTAGACATAAAAATTTCAAAAATAACAGGTTTCTTTTAAATCATATTAGATTTTACTGTTTTACGTGATAATTATGCGATAACAAGTATTCTTGCCAACTTATTTTGCCACTGTACTCGGAATGATATTGAGTCAATATGAACGAAAATTGCCGGTTGTAAAGGACGTAAATTTTGTTGATGAACATAAATCGAGATTTAAAGATTTATATTGTTAATGTTATTGTTTAAAATAGAATCTCTCCTATTCGGGGGGGGGGGAGAGATAGCAATACAATAAGAACACACACAAAAAAAAACACCCACTCATTATCCATGTCATCTTCCAGCAAGACATGATCAATCATTTCATTTAGTTCTGAAATAGTCAAAATCGCTTTCGGATCCGCATCTTCCGTATCAAAATCGGTGAAAGCCTCACGAAGTTCATGTCCGTCTAAGTAGTTGTCTTGATTTATATCATGAATCATGAAAAGATAATAAAGTTCATCGGTTTCTGTCATATCGGCCGGAACTTGCACGCCTTTTAGGTGTTCTTTGATGTGGCTTTATTGAACGAGTACGAAAAGTTAAGGTGATATTGATTGATACAACGAATTCCACGAATAACAATCGCAAGCAAATATCCGTCACCTTAACTAGCACCTCAAAAATCACCACCCATAAAGAACTTACTGTTTAAGCCTTTCATGATCACCATAATTAGTATGCTCCCCATGATAATTAATATGAGTCTTGTGATTCTGACATTTTACAACCCCGAGAAACGACAATATCAGACAAACAAATAAACAGCCAAATAATATTATTCTATTACTATTTCTTTTATTATATTTAGTTTTATTTGATTCGGAAACATTAGTAGTAGACGGATTCATTATGTTGAAAATTCAGTCTCATAGACAAGCGTTATGAGCCACTATCACTATATATAATATTTAGGATGATCATTTTGGATGATAATTTCTAGTCCTTAAAAATGACGACAAAAAATTTAGATACAGTTCAAAAAGAAGACTCCTCAGTTGGCTACTTGTCTTCTGACTCTAGTGGCAAAGAGCGTGATGACAAGAATGACAAAGACTCCTCCAAAAACGTACACAAGCTTCGTCCAGTTGACGTTCAAAGGCACCAGTTGGATCGTCTGTTATCACGTATTGATAAACCAGTGACTATTCCCGAAATCCAAGATAAACCTAAGCTGAAACCACCAAAAGATATTGTTCGTAATGTTCAAGGTAAGTATAAGTAGTTTGGATCAGCGAGTGCATGAAGCTTATGGACATTTTGGGTGGATGGAAAAGTAGGATTCTAAAGCTTTAATAATTTTGAATCAATTTATATCTAGGTTCAAGTGCTGGTGCTGGAAGTGGCGAATTTCATGTATATCGAGCACATAGACGTCGTGAATACACACGTCAAAAGATTATTGAAGAAGAGGCCAGAAAAGTAACTTTCTTTATTATAACCATTGTTAAATTAGGCATCAATTAGTTGACAAAATATTTATTTCATAGGAAGAAGAAAAAAGGGAATTCGAAAAAAAGATGAATGAAATAAAACACCAAGAAGAAGTAAAAACTGCAAAGAAACGTGCAAAACGACAAAAGAAGAAACAAAAGAAAAAACAGAAAATCTCCGAACCTTCAAAGAGTGAAAAAGATAAAGACAATAACAACGATAACGATAACAATAATACAAGAGACTCTTCTATTAAAAATACCGATGATGAAAGTTCGGATGAGTCGAACTGAAGCATCAATGATGAAGTAGTGAATTCTATGTTATTGGGGATTTTTTGTGAGTATTTTTTTCGTTACTTTATCTTTGAACTTTTATTCGTGTTTACATTGTGCACATTTTTTTTTGTTTGGGTATTTGGTGCTTATTTATTTTGCTTGTCATATATCAATTGGCTTAACGAACCAGTCAGTTACTGTTAATTTTATTGGTTTTGTTTTGTTTTTTTTATTCTTTACAGTTTGAGAGGTAAGGATAATTTACAATAATAATCTTCCTAAAGAGAAAATAATATTATCGGTAATAATTAGAATCTAGGTTTTCTGTTCCGTGCGGTATATTTTGAATCAGCTGGAACATTATTCTGGCCACGTAATCGTGCAACTTCTTTTTTGTGTATTACCCAATCTTTGTCTTTGACAGATTTTCTTCGTTGTTTTGAACTGTTTTTTCGTCGATCTTTAATTCTATATTATTATAAAAAGTAGAATGATAAAGATAATAATAATAATAATAATAATAATAATAAATAATAATCAAAATACAAACCTTTCATTAGAGTAAGCTACTTGACTCGGTTCATCATCAACGTCATCTTCCACCTCCCTTTCATCTTCACCCAACGCTTTCGGCATTTCCACTTTTCCCGCCTGGCTTCCCGCAAACAAACACAAATAATACTTTTTCGCTTTTTTACTATTTGGATAATCGATTAACAGACCTCCCTCGAATCCACAACGCATTGCCACGTTCATAATCAATTCACATTGTGCGTCATTCTCTGGATAGAACTGAAAGATTGCTCGTGCGCCACGTCGTAGTGATGAGTATAGCGTGGAGAAGAATCGTGTGAGACGTGATTTTGGATTGTGTGATGAATGATCAGCATTACACAACCATTGAAGGACTGAAATACTGGTGTATGATTTTTTTACGTTAGTTTTTTTTTATATCAAGAAATAAAATTTTGGGATGGATATAATTATGTAATTAAATCTATGTATCGATGAAGAAAGAATTCAAATTACCTAATGGCCCCATCAAAAGTACCGGGCCGAAAAGCCATTCCTTGCCCAATATCTTGCAAGAACAAGTCACCCTCAACTTCACATTCTAGTGCCACTTCTACTCTTCTTATCAGATGAATGAATCAAATTAATGAAAAATAATACTGCCCGTAAAATATAAGATATTCTTAGAGTCTCGTAAATAACACTCACTCAGCATCGAAGGAGCTATATCCATTCCGACCCACACATGCCCTTCCTCTTCAATTATTTCACCACTTAGTCCCGATCCACATCCAATATCAAGTATGTAGCATGTGGTATTTGGTGGGAGGTTCAGTAGTTCTAGAGCGCGATATGTCTTTTTTGGTAATGCGCGTGATGTTAATGTGAATTAAAGATCATGTTGGTTTGTTTATGCTTGAAAAGTCAAAAAAAATTATTATCGAGTACCATTTGTGATTGAATTTCCTGTATTCGTTTACTTTATCATAAAATTGATGTTTATTGATACTTGATTGATGTATAATCAAAGACATATTTTTCCTTACTTTGTTGTGTATTGCTTAGCTTGGTCATCGTTGTAATACTAAAATTTTAAGAATGGTTGGATCATATGTTTTTTATTTCAAAAGCAAATAGTTTTTAATTGAATGAATTTGTTTTTATTCGAGACTGATTTCAAAAAAACTAATTTTTGATACTTGCAATTTCTGGTGGTGCCAAGTGCTCGGGACGCGACATTTTTTTCTTTCCGTTTGTGTAGGATAAAAATTTTAAATCGAAAATTAGATCATCAAATATAAATAGCTGATCAACAACTATTATTGGTCGGTTTGTTCATTTTTCTACACGCGACAAAGGAAGTGTAGTGACTTGTACAAGAATCAAACGAAACGATACAAATTTTTAATCCAAATCCCCCAGAAATGGCAAATTCCTCAGCACTTCCGACTTCAGGCGCCTCCGCGCCCTCTTCTGCTTCTGTCACGGCCTCCACCTCAAGCTCTGCCGTCTACTCGTCACAAAAAATGACAGTAACACTGGATATTTTACGTATACAGCAGCTCCAAATTTCCAAGGTATTTCAAGACAATAGCAAAGAAATCACTTCCGCAGATTTTGACGACGAGGGAAAACTTTGTATAACGGCGTCGGCGGACGATTCTATTAATTTGTATGATAGTATTCGGGGAATGTGAGTATTTTAATTAAATAGCGCCCGACTTTTATTTTGTATTCAATGAGCTGGTTATCTTTCGATCGAATGGTTTTTTGTAAGGAAAAATAGCAACTAACAATTTTGATTTCTAAAAAAAAGAATTGAATGAAATGAGTAATAAATTCGTGTTCATCAATCAAAAAAGTTACAAACGAATTCTACTATTGGCTCACATCTGTCATCTTTTTAATAAAAATAATTGATTACAGATCTCAAAAACTTTTATTCAGTAAGAAATATGGCGCACATCCCATACGATTTACGCATTCACCTACGACCATATTACATGGATCAACCAAAAGAGACAGTATGTATAATTAGTATTGCTTCATATTGTAATTTATTGTCTTGCTGACTTTGATAATAGATATGATTAGGTATTTATCGGTCACCGAAAATAAATATCTCTCATATTTTAGAGGTCATGATGGAAGGTTGGTGTTGGTTTATTTAAATTGTTGCGTGTCTTTTTTATTTACTAATATTTATCCTACCGCTCAACGAATTGTTTTCACCCTTTATACAGAGTTGTTTCAATGGCAATGAGTCCCGCAGATGATACATTTATATCATCGGCAATTGACGACTCCATTATAATATGGGACTTTAAGGCACCCTCGCCACAAGTACGACATATTAATAAATGATTCATTGTGAATTGTTAAAGCTAAATAATCTAAATTGTGACTTATTAGGGTCGTGTTTATGTTGGGAAAGGAAGGCCATCGGTATCATTTGATCCTACAGGAATGATATTTGCTTCAGCAATACAACAGGATAATAAAGTTCGATTATACGATTTACGAAATTTTGATAAGGTATTTGAATTGAAAGTCTATATATTGTTTAGCCCATACATGCAACTATATACAGAATATTTTATTTACAATCATAGGTTGGTAGGGTCATGAATAATTCAGACCCTCGCAAAGAAAAAAATAAATAACTTCACCTTCTACTCCTGCTCTCGTCATCCATGCTTACGCATGTCATCATCATCATCAGGGACCATTCACACAATTCATTATAATCGATCCTTACCTCTCTGCATACTCTTATCCACGACCTGGTACTCAAATGCCTACGTGGACTGGCATTAAGTTCAGCAACGATGAAAAACATATCCTGATTTCGACTAGTGGGGATCAGCATTATTTGATTGACGCGTTTTCGGGGGAGCTGAAACGTCGGTTGGTTGGTCATGTGGGATTGGGTGACACGATAAATGGGTATGGTGGCGATGATACGTGTTTTACCCCTAATGGCGCTTTTGTGATTTCTGGTAAGAAAAATTGCGAGTTTTACTAATCTGATGATGATCTTATTTTGCATAAAGAAGATACTTACTCTCGTCTTTGTATAGGCTCACAAGATGGCTTGATAAACATATGGGATATTAATACTTCTACAGTGTTACAAAGCGATTTAAGACCATGTAAACAGTTAGAGGGACACACTAAACCGACACAAGTGGTCCAATTCAATCCAAGATATATGTGTATGATTAGCGCTTGTCATGAAATGGTTAGTAAAATGATCCTTATTTTATGTTTTAAATCATAATTCACCACCGTCAGACTTTACCTTTTATATGATACCGTTATTATTTTGAAAAAAAAAGATCATATGTGCGTGATTAGAAGAAATGTATATTCTTTTTAAATCACCCATGCTTTACAAGGATACTACCGATTTCTTTCCTCTTGCTTCTGCATGCTGCGTGAATTTCACCCGTTAACTGGATTTATTGTTTCTCCTTTAATCTCTTTAAACGTATCTATCCAGATTTTAAATCCATCTCTTTTCATTGATATTTATTTTATATACAGGTATTTTGGGAACCTATGCCACCTGGAAACTCTTCTGACTCGAATAATATTGACGCGATTACTGGTAATAATCAAGAACCAGTAATAAATAATAATAAAAATAATAATAGCAACATTATTAATGAAGACAGTAGTAGTAATGCGAGTGTTAAGCAGGAATCACTATTCAATGAAAACTTTATCAACAGCAACAGTATTGATAACAATACAATTATTAATAATGGTAATAATAATAATGATAATAATATTATGATTAATAATAATGATAATAATGCAATTAATAATAATAATAATGATAATAATAATAAAGATAATAATAGCAACATAATTAAAAATAATGATGATGATGATGATGATGATAATAATAATAATAATAATAATTATAATTATAATTATAATTATAATTATAATAATGATAATAATTAATAATGATATAAATAATAATATAAATAATAATAAAAAAAGAACAAATAAAATTATAAAAGAAATATTAAAAAAAATATTAATTATCTAAATTAATAATAAGAATATACATAATGATCATTTGCATGATAATATATTAGATTTAATATTAAATATATAAATAATCATCTATATATTCAAAATAAAATTAATTTTTATAAAAATAATATAGAAATTAATTTATTATACAGATAATGCAAAATAAAAATCTAAACTAAAAAGAAATAATCTAATAAAAATTATTATATATATATATAAAAATTATATAATAAAATAATAAATTTATAAAAAAATAAAATCAAATATATATTTTTTATATTTAAAATATTTTTTATTTTAAATTATATTTTAATATTTCTTTTTTTTATCATAAATTAATATAATATTAATAATTATAAAATATATAATTTTTAAATTTTTTAAATTTTCAAGAATATTTAATTTATTTTTATTTTTTATTTTATTCTTAATGATCAATCTCCATTACTAATATATTATTATTATTATTATTATTATTATTATCATTATCATTATCATTATTATTATTATTATTATTATTATTATTATTATTATTATTATTATTATTATTATTAT